ATTAATTATAAATAAACATGAATCCCAATATCTTAAAACTTTATTATTTTTTTCGCATGTCTATAATGCATAAACATATAATTAAATATAAATACCTCGATCTGTGATTACAAATCTGTCAAGATCCTCTATGCAGAACAAAAAAGTGCTAAACTGCAACTCCAAACAATGATTTCTCTGGCTTAGCCTTTTGCACACATAAAATTTTATACGTGTTGTTTCATTAATGTACATAATTGATGAGAATATTCACTCTATAAAGGCAAAGCGAAGATCAGTTTTTCTTATAGTAAACTTAATTTCACTTTCCATTAAAGTAAGGAATAAATAAGAAAACACTTGCCCAATCATTAATTACCAAAAAAGTAATTTATAAGTTGACCAAATAATATAACATTAGTCTTGAAATAAATTACGTGTCCAAATTATGTGGGCCACAAATATAAGAAAATATCTTATGAATATGATTTGGCACTTGAATTTATATTTATATATATATATATAAATTATATTTCATTTGATTTTTTATATAAAGATAATAATAAAAAATATTTATTTAATTTAAAGATATATATTTTACATTATATTTTATTTATTTATTTATTATTTTTTACATTATGTTTCATTTGATTTTATTCTCTAATTTTGTGTAAGCCCTTTTAAGTAATTTCAACTTTTACTTATCTTCTATTATTTTTGTAAAGAGAATCTTAAGGGGTATTTTTTTATTTATGTCTATCTCACTTTATTTAACTGACAAATAAATCCTTATTTGCTCACTTTTCACGTTACAAGAGAGAGATTTAAATATGTTAAGTGTTATTTGCACGCTTTTCAAATTATATTTTTTTTTGCATTTCACGGTACATTAACATAAGTTGAACTCTTAAATGTTAAAATGACATAATTTTAAAAACAATGTTTCAGGGGAAATGAAAATCAAGGATCTTTAAGCAATATCACATATCAATTTTTTAACAATTTAACTTTACAAAAAAAATTAGAAAATTTGAACTTAGAGGAGCCTCGTTAGTTGACATACGGGGGAATATTAAAATTAAAAAGGAGACAAAAAAAAGTTGCAAACCAAAACCACAAAGACCAGAAGTTTTCATAAGGACATTGCTGTCATTTCATATGACCGCTTAGGCTGCCAATTAGAGCGTCGGAATCACTATTTGTGCTGAATTTGAACATGCGAATATTCCACCAGCACAAGACTTTTTGCCACAGCAAGACTCAGACCATAAGTAACATCAATAATTTCAACCCTTCAAAATTGATTGGTAGACTTTTAGAATTTGTTTTCCATGCCACAGTATAATTTGATTATTTTCAAAAAAAAAATTGTTTAAATCAGAAAATAATTAACATATATAATGAACAAAAAAGATTAAGATTCCTAATAAAATAATGCAGACATGAGAAATTGATTTACATTTGAGAGCAACCTCTATATGTAAATAATACCAAAGATTATTAACCTTCAATATATAATTTGCATGATCAAGGTAATTTGTTATGATTAAGATTTATGAATTACGAGCACTTATGAAATGTTAGGATTCCACTAACAGTTTCGTGACACATCAGTCTTATCCTTGAGTTTCAGATTTGGCTTACATGATTTGAAAAAAACACATCAAGTTTGACCTACAACAGTCAACAGGAATATTTTTTTCACAATCTTATTTTGTGAGAACTTTGCTTTAGCTAAATAGTTCATAGTTCGTTCACGACTCGTTGTAACTTCGTCACGTATTGATCGATATAAGATCTCTTTTTAAGTTTGATACGTAATTTATATTGGCTAATTTATATTAACTTTGTCTAAATTTATTACATCGCGATCGATACCGATACCACAATCAGAACTGATATTGCGAACCATACAATAAATACACAATGAAGAATTTCTTAATAATATGATTATGGCTAACCAAGTGTAGAAAGTCCTGTAGTAATTTAGAGGATGAGATTTTATCTTTTAACGGATCCATGGATATTTATTGTCGGACTACAAGATACTCCTATATTATTAAAAAACAATCGCCTAATTCGTCAAATTATTTGGAGCATTTTTTGGTGTTTATCATCTCATTTTAAATAAAAGTACTTAAATTCAAAAGTAAAATTATTTGATTATATTTATTCTCCTATTAGTCCATAAGTGGGAATCTCTTTAGTTATTAATTGTTGTTTCTATTATTATGCGTATTTGGGGTTACTATTGTACACTAAGTCACATAATTCTTCTAAATCGGTATCGTTCTGTCACTTCGCGCTGCTTCCGCTCTTGCATTCCGCGAGCTCTCACTGTCGTTCCCTCTCACTTAGCTTAAATTTTTGCGCCTTTCACGCTCCCTCCTCCTTTATTTGAAAAATACTTTTACGCAATAGAGAATTTTTTTGGCTTTTAACGAAAACTAAAATTTAAAGTTTTATTTGTAAGTTTAGGTGAAAAATATATAGAAGGATCTATTTATGAAAAATATATATATTTACATCATCACCAAACACTAATTCATTTTTTAAAAGTAACACTTATATATATATATATATATATATATATATATATATATATATATATATATATAATAGTGATTTCTTGTTTATCGTGGAGTAAGAAAATTATTCCGCACTTTCTATAATAACTACTAGATTAAAGGGTGAACTACATTAAACTTTCCTTTTCTATCTGTGTTTTTCACTAAGCCCCCCTTTTCTATTTTTTTGGGTCAAAAAACCCCCCTCAACTATTAAAGGGGGTGATTTAACTAACTTCCGTTAACTAACTATTAGAGAGGGGTGATTTAATTCTCAAATATATATATATATATATATATATATATATATATAACAAATAAATTTCAAAAAAAAAAAAACCTAGATTTATATTGGAAAAAAAAATTAGGCATTATTTCTGGTAGTGTCCCTTTAATAAATCTATATAAAATGAAAATCAATAAAAACCAAATAAATGAATGCACAATATAATCCTCAAAAATATATATAACAAATAAATTTTAAGAAAAAAAAAACCTAGATTTATATTTGTCTGAAGGCTAGATGGAAATGAAAATATATTTAAATAATATTTAATGATACATATTATATATACCATTATATTATGATACAAAATATACATAATATTATAATGATGGGTAAATAAAAGAAGTTGAACAAGAAGAAGAGTACATATTGTTGCAATAGTTTTTTTTCCAATATAAATCTAGGTTTTTTTTCTTGAAATTTATTTGCTATATATATATATATATATTTGAGAATTATATTGTGCATTCATTGATTTGGTTTTTATTGATTTTCATTTTATATAGATTTATTAAAGGGACACTATCAGAAATAATGCCTAATTTTTTTTTTTGCCAATATAAATCTAGGTTTTTTTTCTTGAAATTTATTTGATATATATATATATATATATTTGAGAATTAAATCACCCCCTCTAATAGTTAGTTAACGGAAGTTAAATAAATCACCCCCCTCTAATAGTTGAGGGGGGTTTTTTTGACCAAAAAAAATAAGAGTTTGGGGGGGGGGGGGGGGGGGGGGATGGATGTGGACATTCCAAACCTACTTATATAATTTCCTTTTAATACAAAATCACTATCCACTTATATAATTTCATTTTAATACAAAACCACTATCACTATTTTTAGTTTCAAAATTTAGTATTTACCAATACCACTAATTACAATAATAAAAGATAAAAATAGAAATCTCGAAATCACTCCCAAATCAAGGTCTCTGTACCTGAAAAATATCCCCACTATGCGGGTGAGTAACATAAAGTTACTCGTAGGAGATGAGCATGCATCGACCTAGCACTTTACAATTCTATCACCTAGCTTAATTAAGGTTTTAACTTGATGTTTGTATTGGCCATGACTTGTTTACTAGTATATATTAATTGCTTAAGTCCATAAATAGACCTATTCAACTTACATACACAGTCCTCACGACCTTTAACCACGAAACCATCTGGTTGCCTCATGTAGATTACACGCTTTTGATGCTTATACAACTCATTTACATGTCTTTGCATAAAATCTAGAAATTTTATTTAATATTTTTCTTGTATGAGATTTGATTTTCCCGATTGGTTATAGCTTGGTTTAAACATGTGGCAGTCTCCCACTAATTGAATTTTTGTTTTCTATGAATAAAAAAATAATAATAAGTGTTTAAAAATAGCAAACAAAGTGTTTTTCATAAGCTACAACATTGCCAAATGGACTTTTATACTCCTAGACTACTAGTTTGTTTTTTGTTAGTGGAAATGTTTTATTTTATGTTGTATTTGGAATAAGAGAAGGAAGAGAAGGGAAGTAACGAGAAGGAAAACTGCCGTGAGGGAAATACAAGGGAAGAAATTTATTTTATGTTGTATTTTATGTTGTTTCTTTGAGAATATAAAAGTTGATATAAAATAAAATATAAAGTGAAATTATTTAAATTTTTTAAAATATATATATTTATATATAATATTAAATTGTGTCATCATGTGCCAGCTCTGTTATGCAAATCCTATCACCATAGACAAATACCGAACTGATCAGGGACGGAGTCAAAAAAATTTGTTCAGGAGAGATATATTGTTATATTGTACCCCATAATTTAGGAGATTTATATATATATATATATATATATATAAATAGAATATTATAGGGGCCCTTAACTCCCTCCGTCCCTTGGACTGATGAAAATACTATGAATCATACCAGAAATCCAAATTCAAAGAACAGGTATATGATATGAATAAAGTCACTCTGGCTTTATTATATAAAGTCTTGGAACCCTAATTTTAGTCAAATACATACTTTAGAAATCTTTTAAAACTTGGAAGCTCGTAATTTTTAGAAAAAGCCACAAGTGAGGTTGATCATGACCACAAACTATATAATATTCAACTCACTTTGATTATTACCAATTGAACATGATTGATCGCATTGTAAAAAATTATAGTATAAAGTAACGAGTTAAGGAAAATAAAATCAACCATGGACCTAAAATCATCTCACGAATACATTTGTTTATTGTACTCTCTTGTACAAATAATGAAAATGAAATAACATTAATAACTAGGATGTAAAAATGATGAAAATGTGTTACTCACTCACTTTGATAGTGTTACAATATTGAAATGGAACTTCTCATACATACAAACTCAAAAGAGAGCCTCAAACGTTGCAGACTCTTTTTTGTTCAATTATGATATCACATTACTGCAGTGTCCAAAAATTAACATGCAATGTAACAACTAACAAGAGCACTATGATTTGGTTTAGAGCCTTCGGTTGTCAAAGTTTCAAACTACTACCTACCATTTTTTTTTTCTCAGGCCACCCAAAACAATTTGACAGTTGAGACGACTAATCTTTCTCGTGGTTAGACTATCCTCAGTATATTTCATCTCTATGAACTAAATTTTGAATCAGGGACTAATAGACACGGGGAGAAAAGAAGGAACAATGCCACTCTACAATTTAACAAGTATCAGTGCGCAACCAAAAGTTCGATCAAATTACCAAGAGTAGTATTTTACTGGTTTGAGAAACTCATATTCCCTATGGGCCACGCACGCATATCAATTCAGATTAGAGCGATATAGATATTTCGCAAAATTGAAGTCAGTTGGCCACATGACCCAGGTGCTATTTTGTTAGATTAACCACCTTTCTGTGTAGAGAATTCAGCTACTCGGCTAAGCGGCAATATCAGATCCTTCATGGTCTCGTACTCTTCTGCACTTATCTGGGCACTATTTAGTACCTATTCAGATGTAATTAGAAAAAAAAAAAAAAAAAAAAAAAGATTGTCAATATTGTTGCAACGAAATTTATATAATTTAATATAAGACATGTTAAAGATCTAAAAGCACAATACAAAATTCAAAAGTGGCTGGTACAGTCTTCGATGAAAGAGATAAAAAAAAGTTCTACTATATATACAATCTCTCAGCAACTTCTAGATGACAAATGGCTTAGCAAAGTCAAAACTACAAAAGTTGTCATTTCTCCCGTCACTTTCGTTATGGTTTCAAAAATATTTCGTGGTATTTTAACTCATCTTCCTCCTACACAGAAGCTGGGTAGTTGGTACTCATTGCAATGGATAAAGAATCAAACTCCAAGAAAGTTTAAGAAGCTTTAAAAGTAGTTCCTGCTGTGAACAGTAAGAAACTTGAACTAAGAAATGATTACCACTCTGACCCAACAAACGACCACAAAATATCCTCCTTTCTAACACCTTCCCCAAACTCTTGCAGGTTTTTTCCTATCAATATTTGCCAAAGAAAGTATATAGTGCATTTCTATCAAAGGGAGTCGCTAGAACTGGACAAATCACTTTTTTGGACAAAAACCTGTAAACTAAACGCTTGCGTGATTCAATTATTTAAAAACAGTTTTCAAGAAAAATATTTTTTAGAGAATATAAAAAGTCTATCATCTGAAATCAAGCCTTTCTAATTCAATTTTCAAAGATAAGTCTTACCAACCAAACAAATTTTTTTAACTGTTCTATTTTTCTCTTTCTGGAAACAACTCTTTGAAAACAGAACAAAGCAGAAGTCAAACTCTTCCTCTATTGTTCAATTGCTTAAGAGAGTAGATTGGATATATATCTAATCTCCATCTATAATGGTCATAAAGTGATGGTCTTATTTCCTGATGGATATTGAGTACAATACCACGATAATTCATGAACCAGGTTTCCAAAGCCAACTCACTATTTCCAATATCTCATCTTCTTCCTATACAGAAGCTGGGTCAGTGGTACTCATCACGACAGCTAAATAATCAAACTCCAAGAAGGTTTAAGAAGTTTCAAAAGTATTTCCTGATGGAACTGTAAGAAGCTTGTACTAAGAAATGATTAGCAATCTGATCCAACATACAAACACAAAATATGCATCTTTCTAAAACCTTCCACAGCCAAGTATGTAGTAAGTAGTAATTTTAATTTTCCTACTGATATTTTCTATAGAATGAATATTGTGCATTTCTATCGAGGGAGTCTCTAGAACTGGGCAAATCACTTTTTTTGGATTAAACCTATAAACTACCAAAGAAGAGTCCACTCAATGTTCAAAGAACAGCCTTCAATGGACTACCAACCAAAACGAATTCTTTAAGTGTTCTCTATTTTTCTGTTTCTGGAAACTACGCTTAGAAAACTGAATCAAGCATGACCTAAATCCTTCCTCTATTGTTTGATTGCTCTCATCTATTCAGTTCATAAAGTGGTGGTCTTACTTGATGGATATTGTTTACAATACCACTATAGTTTCTTGAACCAGGATTCCAAAGCCAACTCGCTATTGCCAATATTAATAAGATACCAACCAACATAAATATATATAAACATTAATGGTGCCCATCCTTATTGAACTTTTAAAAAAAAAAGCTATAGGTGCTAAATATGTTAGAAGATTGTTTACTGTTCATATGAAAAGAACACAATTGAATTCTAGGAAGCAAAAAATTTCTAATTCTAAATGCAGAAACATTAATTTAGTGATAGCCATGAACCCACAATTCAATTCAAGAGAACACTACAATGGGAAGCAAGGTATTCACGAATCCACTTGCACAAACACCACTGTAACTAAAAGCAAGAATCCACAACTTCCTAGCTATGAGAAAAAAGGAGTAAATTCCCCCATCAGCAAATAAGATACTGTGATGACCTATGTGAGCGGGTGCGAGGCACTACTAGGCTACTACACTGGGCGAGTTACAGGTGCACAATCCCACATTGCCTGGTGTGGAAAAGGCAAGTGTTATATATAGATTCAACAGCCTTATATGACACAACGTGTTTTAAAGCCGTGATGGTCGTTAATCCATTAGAACCCCGGAGTTAAGCATGCTTAATCTAGAGGAGTACCAAGATGGGTGACCCCTAGGAAGTCTCTGGTTCGGGAGAGCCAAAAGGGGACAATATTGTATCTGGATAGGGTGAAGGTTGTTACAAATAGTATCAAAGCCTGACCCAGTCAGAAGTGTGGCCAACGGGGAAGTTGGGCCCCAAATGGGGGTGATTGTGGCAACCTATGTGGACAAGTGTGCATGTGTGGATGCGAGGCACTGGTAGGCTACCACACTGAGCGAGTTACAGGTGAACAACCCGCATGGGTGTGAAAAAGGATAGTGTTATATGTAGATTCAATACCCTTGTTGACACAATGCGTTTGAAAGCCGTGATGGCCGTGAACCCATTGGAACTCCGGAGTTATGCGTGCTCAACCTAGACTAGTACCAGGATGGGTAACCCTTTGGGAAGTCTCTGGTTCGAGCCAAAAACGGACAACATAACTCCAGGGTTAAGCGTTCTTAATCTGGAGTAGTACTAGGATGAGTGACCCCCCTGGAAAGTCTCTGATTCGGGAGAGCTAAAAGCGGACATTATTGTGTCTAGATAGGGTGAGGGTAGATACAGTTACATTCTCCCAAGATACGACAATGGATTTGAGAATTAACTTACTTTCACATCAACCTTTTCGAAATGAAAATTTAAGATCCATGAAGGTGATCCTCGAGACAACTTCGCATAAACCCAATATGTTCTTATCTTACATTTCAACATTAATTAAAATTTAAGATAATAGAACATTGTATAGTGAACTTTGAATCACACCTTGTAAAACAATGCCTTCCCATTTGTCATGTGTGGAGTAAGTGCAGGAATCCTTGATACGGAAAGAGCATCAATAAACAAAAGAACAATCACTTGCCACTGCTTCATTCTGAATGGGGGAAGTGGATCAATAAAAGACATTGTATCCAGCAAGCGTCCCTGCAAGTAAACTCCTTAAAAATGAATAGATTATCTCCCAATAAAAACCAATGCTTTCATCCAAAAAAAGGGTAAAGAAACAAAATTTATGCAGTTATCAACATATATCATTTCCCATAACAAAATGTGTTCAACTAAGTCTTGTAACAATCAAGGCATGTGTTTGTGAATAAATAAGATAGACAGTGTTACAAAAAAAAAATTAGGCAGAGTATATAATTCATTTAGAAACTACAAAAATATGGATAAAAAGAACATTAAGCCAAACAAAAGAAGCCAAGACTAAAACACCCATAATATAGTCTTAGCTGCAGAGCATAATAACCTGAAGCCAAAGATAGAATTCACACTAAGTCAGACATGAAGTTCCACAGAGCGAAAAGGTGATTAAGCAATACCATAAGTTCAATTTTCATATCAAATGTGCAACATATACCCTTTATACCCAGGTGAAAGCAAAGGGAGAGGGCAGGTAGACCTCCCTTAACTGATTGAGAGTATATATAATTTATAAATGATAAACCAGTGTGTAGTTTTTGAGGAAGAAAAATGTAAATTGAAATGGTTAAATTGAAATTTGTAAATTTATTCATTTACTTTTAACAGGTAAGGTGTATATGTATCACAAACAAGGAATTGGAGCTTTGTACAATACCAACAGAAGCATAACCCCTCGACAAGCAAATTTTTTAAAATATAACAGGCACGTATTTTTTTGATAATTAAATTGTATTATTATAGGGCACCAGATGCACATACACATGCACACAAAGAAGACATTTTGAATTTTAAGTACTATACCAAGCACTCTACATAAAGGAAATCGTGAAATATAAATAAGATTAATTTGATTAAATCAGAAACATAGTGACCAACCAACATATCTCAAGAATAAATTGTCTATCTGGTAGTGGTATAACTCATTGAGAATGAAGCTTAATAACCGAGATTAGAAACTTTTCAGCAGCAGCTAAGAAAGCATTAAGCCCTAAACAGATTTGGAGTCCTTAAGATCCACAGCAGCATTCACAATTTGAAATCCAACTATATGGGGGAAGAATCAAATCCCTTAACTATACACATCAACAACTAAAAGAAAATCCCTTAACTACACACATTAACAACTAAAAGATTTGACAAGAACAACTAAAAGATTCGACAAGTTCAAAATTAATACCATTCCTTGCTCCAGAATAGATACTGGTGTTGGCAGCCTGAGATCAGCAACAAGTCCAGGCAAAGCCCGAGCAAGACAGCCAGCCAGTGTTTGCTTGATTTCAGAAGAACGACCATCAGTCGCTACGATTTTCGGAGGATACTCCCTTCCATTGATTGATAAATACTCTTCATGAAAACTTTCATCACGTCCATATATATATGCCAAAGAAGATGATGATATCCATGCGAAGAGTGCCATCCACATTGATGCAAATGATGACAACTGGAGGGCATCACATGTGATACATACTCAATAATAAATCGAGAATGGTGAAAAAAGTAACCAACGGTAAGTTAACACAAACTTACAGTCAAATTAAACGCCTCTGGTGGACTATCATACCAAGAATCCTCAGAGTCAAAAAAATCATAATTTGGATTTCCAGGCTTTCTTGGCCACTTTAAAGGAGCTGGTTCTGGTTCAAGCACATCAATGTTCATCTGGGATTCTGCGTCATTCGCATCGTGGGGAGGTGGCAATATAATAATTCCAGCTTCAGACACTAAATTTATAAAGCGGTGAAACAAAAGAATGAGAACTTTAGCAAGAGGTGACCAAAATCATAGGAGACAACAAAGGTTATGCAAGTAAGCTCTCAAAACAAAAAATAGTTACAGACCCTAATATTGTGTAATGACATACCAGCATCAGAGACACCAGACTGTCCAGATGCAATAGCTTCCGCTGCTTGGCTCAGTGCTATTGCACATGCTTCTGCTGAAGCACATCGAAATGAACTATCATCATCTTGTATATTTTTAGAATCAAACCTCTGAGCAGCTTCTTTTGTATTTCCAAATTCTCTAACCTCACAAAGATTCTTACTGTCTGCACTATCAGTTTTCTCATCAGCCCAAGTAACAGAGCGAGTATGTTTCTTTTTAGCTGCATGTTTTAGAGAATGTTTGAGAATGGCGGCACCCAAGTGTGCATCCTTTTCAGCATGGGATTTCCCTCGTGCTTCAGTAGCATTTATGTTAAGACCATTTTGGCAACACGACAAAGATGATTCTGGAATGCTGAACTCACCACTTCTAATAATTCCACTCTTCTTTTCTTCTGATTGCTTTAGTTTAACTCCAGAATCTCTTCCTAGTGGAGAAGACGATATCTCCAATATGCTGAACTGATCCTCAATTTTTTTCTGCCTCACTTGTCCTTTCGGTTCTTTAAATTTTGTATCAGAGACAACCACATTTGGGCCTGATGGCATCTTTGAAATGCTATACTCGTCTTCAGTTATTACAGCACTCGTGAAGTCCATCTCATTAAATATGTTTTTTTGCTTATTCAGCTTAGCATGGTTGGCTTTAGACCCTGCAATACACATTTAAACTTCACTTAACAAAAAAATCTGAAAAGACAAATCCCATATTAAAATCAATGGCTGTAATATTAGGCTATTAACAATTCTGTAGAAATTATCTAATAAAATAAGTTACAAACACATGAATTCTAATAAAATAAGTTACAAACACGTGAAGTTTAGTCAATAATGTGTATTGCCAAGTTGAAGATTTGTATCTTATACCTTCTTTGATGTTTTTTGTACGCGAAGGCTTTGAGATGCGATCTCTCTGTGGAACATAGCCTTCAATTGCGTTTGATGGTCCAATCCACTGCTCCAAAGACACTTCCCCAACCTTTGTATCTGTCTTTTCCTTAATCTTCAACTTAGAAAACCCTAAATCTCCTTTCTTACCCAAATCCTCTTTAGTGTTCAAACTCATTCCCTCAAACAACCTCAGGATTTCATTGAGTTTTGCTGAGTTCAGAACAGAGCATCTATCTTCTTGCAAACTCCCAGCAAACGTTCGGCTATTCACAACACAATCTGTCGAACAATACATGTATGTTTCATGTAGATCATAAACCTTATGCTCCTTCAACGAAATGCGATACCGGCCCTTTCGAGGCCGCTCTTCTGGTAAAGAATTGCAGCAGAGAGGATAGCCACACATGTCGGCAATTGATCGTTCAGTCACAACATCTTGGTAGTCACTTCGAGACATCAACGATCCGGCTGCAAATAGCTGGTTCTCGGATTGAATGCCTTCAAGGAGAGAAAGTTGGACCTTGTGGATGGCATCTTTTATAGCGATTGCATCATCTTTTGCCATTTGAGAAGTTATTCTGAAGCAAAGATTCAGATTTGCTTAAACAGTATGGTGTAATTGTCACAGTTGTGTTTGTGGTGGTGGTGGTAGAGCATTCTGGAGAAAGGAAATATACATTCTTTTGATGGGGTTAAATTTTCACCTAGCTTCATATAAGCATAGGAGGCCCGAGCTCTCTATACAATTTTCTGAAGGCATTTTTTTTTTTTTTAAGTTAGTCGGTTAACCAAGGATGCGCCTTTAGATGCTTCCTAATGGTACTTATATTTATCAAAAAAGAAAAAAATGTTACTGAAAAATTAATTGGGATAAAGGGATAAAGTTCTTTGTTGTTAAGATTCAATTTATTCAAACGAATAATGTTTACTGAAGCTCAGGGAAATTTAATAATGTACCTTTAATTAAATTCTTGAACAGACTTATAGCTTTTTTCTTGCAAATTATTTCTCTGGATTTCTGCCAAAACAAACAGACAAATGATTACAAAGCTAAAATTGGTTGATAAGATTTAGAAGGACTTGCAAAAATACCATTCTTTGATCTCTGAATATATATATACGTGTTTATATATATATATATATATATTCTCTGTTGTTTTGTAAAGGTGATCCTGAAGGCTCAAAACAGAAAATTAGGGTTTTTGAAAGTTTTATTCTTGATATGTGCAAATAAGCATTAGTTGCTACTGTTACCTACTAAGTTTGGACAGAGAGAAATCAAAAGAATTATGGTTGGGAAAAGAGAAAGGAACGAAGAAGCAATTATAAGGACATAACCACATCTATCAACAATTATTGAGCTCTTTCGTCTAACGCGCATATAATGGATCAAAACTTCACTAAACCTAAAAAGGAGACATCATGCAAGAAATTAAAAAATTGAAAGATTTACCTATAGAATTAGAACGAGAATGTATATATTGCCGAAACTCAGTATCAGAACAGTTGAAAATCGCAGGTTGCAAACCCTCACTCTCTCTCTCAATATGTATATATATCTACTTGCTTCTCTCTCTAGAACGTCTCTGTAATATGTATATATTGCCAAAACTCTGTATCAGAGCAGCCGGAAATCGCAGTTCGCAATCTCTCTCTCTCGCTATGCGCGTATGTACCTTGCTTCTCTCTCTAGAATGTCTCCGAAGTTAAAAGTGGATATAGATCGCCGACCTGGTTTTCGCGCAATCTATATATGCATATTCGTGTAATTTATCCAATATGAGAGGGTAAATTCGGAATTAGACAATTTGGGCGGTACTCTCCGTAATTTGTCCCATACGCAGGGACCAAAGACGTAATTAAAAAATAGGGTTAATTACAACGACACCTTCTGAGGTTTGCTATATTGATAGCCATATACAACTTAGTCATTTTTTGAACAAAGACACCCATAGGTTTACAAACTTGAACAATGACACCCCATTTTAAAAAAACGGAGCCAAATACAACCTTAAGTGACATGAAATGTCTAATATGCCTTAAGATATATTTTAATCCTCACCTAAAATGACCAAACTACCCTCGCAACTCATCTCTCTCTTTCAACATCCCATTATCTCATCTCATCTCATCATCTTATCTCTTTCTCTCTCTCAACCCAGTTCCTCCTCTTTTTCCACACCCTCCCAATCCGTAAATCAAACCCAAATTTCTCTCTATCTCACACACACACAGTATCTCTCAAACCCCCATCTCAAACCCCTAATCTCGATTCTTGCTCGCTGATTCCATGTCGCAGTTCCTCTCATGGCCGAGCCCTCAACCGGCTGAGCCGCCCGCCGTCATCGAGTGTCGTGGAGTTGGGTTTTAGTTCGTGTGATGGGTGACTATCTCGATTCAGAAAGCACTTTTAGGACGACGGCCGGCGAGCAAAATGGAGTGCTCAGCTGGTGGAGAGCTTGATTGTAGATGGCTCGGTCGTGGAGGACTCGCGGCGGCCGGTGAAGGCTTGGCTAGTGAGGGCTCGGCCGTGTTTAAGACGGCCTTGGCTGTGGGCGACGGGAAGATGGCCTCGGTTGTGGGCCACGGGCTGTTAACACTGAACACCGGTGGATAGCTTGGCTGGATAGAATCGGCGGCAGTTGGCTCGATTGACTTCGGAACAGCGATGAAGGGCGCGATTGACTGACAGCAGCGGTGATGGGCGTTGACTCGTCTGAGTTGGACTCGTGGTGGCAGAGCTCGGATGCGGTGAGCGAGGTTGGTTCAACTCGGCGACGGTGGCGATGGCTGTGAGTAGACGATGGAAGAATGGATTGTGGTTATGGATGGCTTGGATGAGGGCAACGGCGGGACGGTGATGGGCTCGGCTGTGGGCCTGTGGCGGCTTGATGGACTGCGGCTGTGGATGGCTCGGATGAGGGCGACGACGGGACGGTGATGGGCTCGTGGCGGCTTGATGGACGGTGGGAAGAAGGGCTCACAGAATGAAAGGGAAGATCTAAAAATTGGAAGAAGAAAGGATATTTTGGATGAGGGTAATTTGGTCATTTTACATGGTCAAAGAGTAAATATGTATTTTCATTATATTTTTTGTAAATTTAGGGGGTGTCTTTCTCTAAAAAATGGCTAAGTTATATATGACTGTCAATATGGCAAACCTCATGAGGTGTGGTTAATTAACCCTAAAACATATATAAATGATTCAATGTAGACCCAACAATTAAAATTTTGAGAATAAAAAATATCTTATAATTATCGTCAATTCATTCTTTGATCTCGATCTCTCTTCTTTATCATCATCGCTTGTGAGTTGTTTTGGGGTTTAACTTAATTTATGACAGCTGTTTATTTTCTGAAAGGAATAATACAAACACGGAGAACTAGATCACCATTGGTAATAACACAAACCTACCATGCAATGGAGAACTAGATCAATATTAGTAATAACACAAACATACACCAAGTAAACAAAATAGAAACTTGCAACTTCGAAGAATGGCAGTGCGTTGAACACGTTGGGCTAATGCCAATAATTTACAAGTAAAATCCATCAGCTAAGCAACCTGCCAAGACCCCAAAGCAACGGACATAAAGTTTAAAAAACAAAGAAAAACAAATTCTAAGCAAGATTCTTCCTAACTGAGTTGAAAAAACTAAATCCAAAGCATCTGTTGCTGCTATTGCTGCATAATAGACTCCAACACAGAGGTAGGAGAATAACTGAGATACATCCACATCTACTACCTAAACTTTTGTCGCTTGGGTAAACTGCTACTGGGAGGAGCCCGAGATTTGCCTAGTCCCTTCATCTTCCTTCTCCTCCTCTCCTCCTCGCTATCCGATTCACTGCCTTTCTCCCTGTCTGCATTACTTGCTTCCCTCTCCAACTGCTCCCATGCTTTACCTCTCTCTTCCTCTGACTCCTCTGACTCCTCCTCTTCGTCGTCCACAGATTCCACCAGTGATTCACTGTCAGAAACATCGTCATCTGAGTCTGACTCAGGCTCAGCATCTGATGGCTCATAGCCTTGGTCTGAATCCTCTGTGTTATCAGAATCAGAGTGGCTAGCTTCCGAATTCAAAAATTCCCAACCCCCATCCTTAAAGAACCTTTGTGGATCATCAGTGATAGACTTCAATACTGAACGCCAACTCAGGTTCAGTGTGTTCTCGTAATACTTGAGGTCTGTTGCGTCCAGCCATTCCTTGATGCCATCAAGTGATGTTGAAGGAATAGAATCGATTCGAAACACATCACGATTGAAATCCTTGAATACAATTGTCATGTCAAAACTCTTCTGTCCACGATCAAATCTCTCTAAGTTCACTACCACAATTTCACTTAGGGTGATGACAAGAAAAGGAGTCTCTACTAGCTCAACCAAACAGCTTGAAGTTGGGACAATAAAAGCGGAAGCTTTATAGGGAACGCCATGAAAGCCAAGTTCCCTTAAAGGCCGTTCAAACTCAAGGTCAAGCCCATTGAATTGGGGCTGTCCCCAGAGATCATTAACCCGGTTCACAAAGTTCTGGAAATCCATGTTGATTTTGTTCTTCCGGTCCCTCTCCCGTTGTTCTTCTTCAATCTCATCTGGGTCATAAGCAGATCTCTTCCCACCTCCAAGCGTCTGGACCACATCCATCACTTCCACATAAAATTGAACATCTTTAGTTTTCTTGTTTCCCACCATTATGTGGTTGTGCAGATGAAAGTGCAGAAGAGTGATCATTTCCTTCTCTGCTGGCTGGAAGAATGCGTGCTTGACATTCCCATACATGACTTCCACACGCTCATCTTGCCTTGAGGTAGAGTACCGGAACCCATTCTTGTGGGCTTCTAGTGTACCAGACTGTTTTCTTGCACGACCACCAAAAGTGGGACGAATCCAAAGGCCAGGCAACCTTATTGGCTTAAACTTGTTACCTGCAAGTATAAGTTTCTCCTGAGTAACCAAAGTTGCTCGCTCAGCTCTCTCCGACCCCCTGGCCATAACATTCTTTCGGAGTGTTTTAATCAGCTGTACCACTTCACTTATGTGCCTTGGGTCTTTAGAGCGAAATGAAACCTCCTTCAAATATATAGAATCCTGATATTTCAAGGAATTGGCATCATGAGGACTGAAAGGTGTGCCAGGAGCATTGAAGATTATTCGGACTCTGCAATTTCGATTGGTATCCTGTTGGCTGGAGACAGTTTTCACTGTAGCAACATGGAAAGGAACCATGCTTCCATAAATGGGGAAGAGGATGGCTTCATTCTTCTGGTCAACCCGAATCATCATTTCTCTAGGAGGGGGTAAATCATTGACATTCTTATATGCAATTAGTTCACTCGAGGACTTCGCAGCACAACGGTTATCTCCCGTTGCAGAACCCCCACCAGCAAGTCTTCGGGCAGTTTCTTCATTAATCTGGCGAGCAAGTTCAGCCTGGTGCTGCCTTCGGAGTTCTTCTTTTGACATCTCCTGGTTGTCTGACCTGAGGGTTGCCCTAGAAAATAAGGCCTCTGTACCATTAGCCTCAGCTTTCACATTCGGCTGCTCTTCTTCTTCTTCTTCCTCGTCATCATTAAATGAATAAGCCACATCCTTAACGGCTTTAGAGCTCACTGAAGTCACCACATCAGGGCCCTTATCAGTGACAATAACAGTATCCGCCAGTAAAAGAGAGAAATTCTGGCTCTTTGGCTTCTTGATATGCGTCTTCAAATTCTGAAAACCAAGAGTCACATTAAAAACCATGCCTGTTTTCAACACCCGTTCATTCTTGATGTTCAGACTCAAGCCTGCAGACTCACGGATCTCAAGACCAATGCCTGTTCCAGCAGATTTTGTCAGGTTGTTTACTAAATCTGGAGCATCCTTCTCAACCAAAGATAGGGCTGCTTGGTACACAGCACTGATCTTGTTCCCAGGCTTCAATGCCCCAATTGCTGCATCATGGGCCTTGAGTAGAACCTCATAAGCCTTGCTCTGTGTTGTAGTGGAATCAATTAAGAAAGTTCTGGCAACATTTGAACAGTAACTGTTATATCGGGATCCAATTGCACATATAATCACACTGGCTGAATCATAGTACAGATGTTCATCATTGCTCGAAGCACCAAGTCTCAGATCAAAATTACCACCACTCTGAAAGATAGGAGGATAACAGATATCGACATTCTCAGCCTTAAGCTTCACCTTAACTTTTGCTGGCTCCAATATGGCCTTCTCGGTATCATCCATTAATGAAGAATGGGAGACTTTCTTTTCCTCCTCAATAACCTTCTTAAGCTTTGGAACCACAAAATTCTTCATTGCAGAAGCTGTCAAAAATGCAGCCTTCTTCACATTTGTGATCTCACTGCTGTCCTTAACAGCAAAAAGGTCTGACAATCCATTGGTCATATCAATAAGTTGGAGACTTGAGTTCTTTAGCTTCTCAGCCCATGTCTCCAAAAGATTCCCCTCTGGAGTCTCTCTTGCAATGCATCCAACAACAGGATTATCATGACCATCGGACTTTGTCTGAGCACGTATAGCGCGAAATATAGCATCCATTTGGGTAGTCCCATCATTGTTCTTTGCTTTCACATCCATGATAACTTCCACTCCAACAGCCTCCTTGGCAGATCTTTTTACTACGTCAAGCAGAGAGGCCTTCTTCTGGCTACACAAGAAATGGATCTGCTTGTTCATGAAAACCATTATTGTCTCTGAGAATTCATAACCAAGCAACCAAATGCT